GGGGGGGGGGGGGGGGGGGGGGGGGGGGGGGGGGGGGGGGGGGGGGGGGGGGTAGGTCCCACACGAGGGCAAGTTCAAATTATAGAAACAGTGGTGAGCGTGCAGCCTATCTTGTTGAACAAGCGAGTGATACGGGTGTATCTGCATGCATACCTTGATCGACAACGGTACCGCACGGCAGTTGTGGACGAACAGGTTGTCGTATGATCAAGGTGTGCGAATCTGTGAGGTGGGTCTCTGCTGCTGCCACCCACACCCTCTTGAAGACGCTGGAACACAAAACCAACTCCTTGCAATAGCTGCACGCATCCATCCGAAGTCATTTCCAGACACGGTATTGTAAAGCGTGTCAAAAAGCTACGTTAAGAAGACCAAAAGCACCTTGAAAGGGTGGGTGTTCTCGTGGTTCACGTTCCCCACCAGCACGGCCCCATCCGACGCCGCCCGGACATGTGCGAACACCAGGCCTGACTCAACGAACTTGGCGATGTTGAGAAGGTTGGTGTTGGACCAGGCCGGGGTAGGAAACTTTACCACGCATCCCCCTTCCTCGATCCGCCTCGGGGTGTACCTATGGTAAAACGCCGCCCCAGCGGGGTGTGTGTGTGTGTGTGTGTGTGTGTGTGTTTTCGTCCTATTTATTATGGCGACAGTCTCCCCATTTTTCGTGGTGAGACGTGTACTACACTTGTTCAGCGTATGTAGAGTACTACACTTTTCAGTGTATTTTTTCGTACAACTACAACCATCCAGGGTCACACAGGAGGGGGTAAACACCGGGGCTTTTTGCTTCTTTTTATTTCTTTTCATGCCCCACCTTCCTCCTGCGGTGCGTGCTGAATTTAATTTTTATCGCGAGAAGGGTCCAGCCGTCCCTTTCCCTCGTCAACGGTGCTAACGTCGAAGTTTGGTACTCACGATAGCTTCTTAGCTATATTTCGCTTTCACCCGCACATTTCGTAAATTTTTCACCCATGGGGATTCGAACTCACCACCTCTGCGACTAGCGGATTACGAGGATACCACTAGACCACCGGGGCGACCGGTCGGTAGGGGGGGGGGAGAGAGGGGGCCAAATTTGTTTCGTGGGATCGCTCAAACAGTAGTTTTGCTCTTACACGTTCAGCCACAGCAGTAACACCACCCGTGTGGGATCTATCCAGAGTGTTTTTCGAGGCCAGGTGAAGTCCGCCGTGGAGGCGAAATAAGGCAGCACCTCGACGGCAACCTGTTAGGTGGTGGGAGCAGGGAGTCGACAGGCCCTTTCGCTTTGCTTCGTGGGGCGATAAAGTCGTTCAAAGCCCACGAGGCGGCGCGATCTCTTTGTCCTTTCAGCAATCCCAACTGGTTGAGCAAATCCTCACACCGCCTCCCTTCCCGGGATGTTCGACGGAAGCTCCTCTACACAACAGCGTATTTCATCGTGCCGCAAGAACAGACTGAGAAAAAGCGGAGATTCATCCTTTTGTTGCGCCAAAAACAAGGAACAGGAGCTCCAAAGGTGGTGCCACAAGCCCCACTCAACAGGACTCGGCACTTTGACTGTCTCACCAAGCGATTCCGAAGCCATCGCCGTTGACGCGGATGTTCCTCTTGTCGGCACACCCGGGGTGAAAAGACGCGTCCCTCGATTGGAAAACCAACGAGTGCTGAAATCATGGGGTTCATTTCGGGCACGGCATACAATACGGTGCCCACACAGCGGGAGAACGCGCGCCAAAAACAAATTGGTACGCAAAAGGGAGGCTACAATGCAATGCAGATGTTTGGCCCTTCGAGGGAAACAACGGTTTGAGTGTCTGTCGAAGGCAGGATAGGGCTCGGAAGGAGGAAATACGTCGTATGCACGGAGGAGCTAAAAACAAGAGAGAGAAAGATCATCCTTCCTTGAGCGTCCCATCTGCAATTGTTATAAGCATTCCCAAGCACACACACACATACCACGCGTAAACTCCGGGGTCACTCACCTCGGGCTTCGTCACAAGCACGTCCATCGGCACGGACGCACCCATGTAGCAAAGCAGTCGACACCTTGAGAAACCAATGCAATCCCACGGACGCCGGGGGATCAATGATGGGGTGGGATATGTTCAGGCAACTCTTTCCTTCGTAAAGAACGCTGGGGACTTGATCGAACGTCTTGGAAAGCCCCACAAAGAGCGACTCAACGAAGATTTCACAACGGAGGTAAAAATTGGGCGTGCGGGCATGAACCGCCCCAGAATCTTTGGTTGAAGCCCCCTCAGCACACGATTCCAGGGAGGCTGGAAGCTGCCGCAGGGAAAAACTCTCTGTCGTGTTTTCTCCATCTTTTGCCAGAGGCAAAACAACCCGTGTTTGGGACTAGACCACCACACAGGGTTGGGCTGGACTACAAAGAGAACCTCGAAGCGGGAGCGGAAAAGGAAGAGAAAACGAAAACATCAAGAATGGAGTGTATTTCCGGCCTCGTCTGCTACAACGAGCGCCAACCAAGGTTGTTTTCACATGCTTTGACTGGGATGAGTGATGGGCGGAATGCTATTTGAACAGTGCGGGGGTGTTGCAGACACAGGCGCTGCTGCCTGCTACTGCGGAATATCGGTATCTCCATTATCATCAGGTGCCTAAGATGAAACCAAACTGAGGCACAGATGCCCCCTAAACCGTTGCTGTTGGGGGTGGGAAGAGCACCAAAAGCGGCAGGAATCTGCGTTAAACGTGACTCGAGAATCAGCGCTTCCAGGGCACACTCGAGGGAGCAGACTCGACGAACTTATACCTATGTAGATCTAGATATTGCGCGATTGCCGTTGGCTATACAACCGGCACTGCTTTGTACGTTTTCCGTGCAATTTCTCAGATTCGCTGCGGACGTCGTGCGCGCGAGCGCTCAAACGTCCCGCGTTCCATGTCTGAATGCTATTGTTGCGTTTGGCGCTAGATAAGACCCAACGAAATGGAGTAGCGCACTGATAATTCTGAGGTCTTTCGCACGTCCGGTCGAACACGGCGGTGGTCGCGCCCCGGCGACAAGGAAAGAATCACGCGAGTTTATGGCCTTCGTTCGGGGTCTTCGAGTATTTTGGTTTATTTATACACGCGCTTGCCTCGCCGGGCCTCTGTGTACAAGTATCGATCCCCTGTACTGATCTCCCTTATCCGATATGTCACTGAATTTGTCATGTGCTCCCTCTTCCGGTGGCTTGCGGAATCACGGAAGACATCCATGCCAGGTGGGCCTGTGCAGGACCAGACTGAATAGTGTACAAGATTCTTGGTACTGAGCAGAGATCGGAACGTTTGTTTTCGTAAGGAACGACATGAATAGTAGAACAAATACAAGAATGCATCAAGGGTACACAGGAAAAAAAAAATCACGACGCGTCGGCATCGAAAATCGGGAACATTTGGGGGGGGGGGGGGGGGGGGGG